CATCATACTCAACATTGATAACACAAATATCTTCCTTCATTATAGAAATAATCTACTGGAAAGGATCCATCAATTTCAGAATTTTATTTTCAAACTCATTGCAAGAAAAGTGATAAAAGTTGGGTAAATGAGAAAGCTGGGAAAAACTTGCCTCTGAAGCCACATTGGATGGGGGATGCAGTATTCAAGGAGATGAAGGGGCATTGGGAGTCTCCTGCATTCAAGATAAAGTCCGAACAAAACAAATAAAACGTGATTCAAATGCTGGTGCATCACTTCATACAGGTGGTTGTATACCTCATCGAGTGATCTATAAGAGAATGGTAATCATAAATCTTTTTAGATGTATTTCTTTTAAGAAAATATCATCATACTCAACATTGATAACACAAATATCTTCCTTCATTATAGAAAGAATCTACTGGAAAGGATCCATCAATTTCAGAATTTTATTTTCAAACTCATTGCAAGAAAAGTGATAAAAGTTGGGTAAATGAGAAAGCTAAAACTGCTTATGTAAGTATTCGTTCGCTCTATTCTTTTGTAGATTAAATATTTTATTTTAAGTTGTGTTAAATATCTTGGTAAGAAGATGGAATGATCTTGTTGTAGCCAATTAGTATTGTGGCCTAGCGGTGAATGAAAACCATGGAAAACTAGGGTGAAAATTCCAGCAGAGACAAAGTGCTAGGTGATTTCTTCGGTACTTAAAATGGTGGGAGGTAGCAAGTACCCGATGAAATAAGGAAGGTGTGCGCGGCAGGTGGCCCAGACACTGCGGCTTTTTAGAAATGAAATGATCTTGCTGATAAACTTAAAGTTCTTTGAACCAATAAATATGAGAAAAATTGCCTTATTTTCCAACTGTTTGGAAAACTAGAATTATCTTCCTTGTGATCCCGTTCTACTATAATTATTTGATACTAGTGTTAGATGTAGTTGTCTTCCAAGTGAAAGCAATCATAAGTGAAGAACATCTCGACACTTTTACTTCCAAGTACAAAGAATAAGAAGTTGGCAGTACTCTACAGAAAATGCCATGCTAGTATATGCATTATGTAATCATATTTTATTTGTTAATATCAATGTTGACAAGTATATTGCTTTTGATAGTTGCCAGTTAATAGTGAGAGCTAGAGATTTGCCTTTAAATATTGTCTCAAATAACTTGTTTTGATGCAGAATACTTTTGAAAGAAAGAAACAAGAATTATTAGCTTCTCAAAGTGCATCAGCTGCGGAAGGAGAAACTAATTTAGCTGGTCAACCTTCTCAATTAACAGAAATGGATATCTGGGTGCAATCTGTTGGTGGAAAGAAAAAAAGGAAGAGTTAAAGGTCTTGGATCCCTGGGTCGATCTGTAAAGTCATCGTCTAAACAATCAACATCAGCTTTATCGAGAGAAATTGATGAGATGATTAAAACTCAGGTAAATGCTTCCAATGCCGACTTATATGCTCAACTGCAGAAAGAGTGTCACAAAAATAAGAGGATGAGAAGGGAATTGGACTTATTGAAGAAACATGTATACAACACATCATCTTCAAATAAGCAATCATCTCAAGAAGACAATCAAGCTTATGAGAAAGAAAGTGGTGATGACTCTGATAGCGTGAATGATAGTGGTTCTGCCCATGATAACGTGAATGACAGTGGTTCTGCCCATTATAGCGCATCATCTTCAAATGGGGATTGAGATAGTTGATGGTACTATTTAGGATTCAAATTTGAGTTGTAATTTGTTTTTGTATGTTTAAGAATCATATACTATTGATCTTGCAGATTTATTTTCATAGGAATTATGAATTCTGAATTCTGTTTTTTTGTTGAATGAAGTGATATAACGTGAATTGTGTTTTTTGTTAGTTTTTTGCGGGTTTCTTTTCATTGGAATTATCTTGAGCAATACTTTCATATATATCCGCAAGAAATTTCCTTTTGTTTCAAAAAATTTCATTTCCAAACTCCTATGGATTTACTTGGGGATCTTCATGGGGAATCACTTGCGAAATATTTCTATGAAAATCTGCAAGAAATTTCGTTTTTATAAGAAATTTTAGCAAAAAATTCGCAAGAATTTTCGTTAGTTATGCAGATAAATCCGCAAGTAATACAGCTGCGGATTTAAATTCCCCAGGTAAATTACCTAGGGATTGTATAAATCCCCAGGTAAGAGTTACCTACGAAGGTTTTTCCATCGGATTTCATTTTGCAAGAAAATTCGCACGTAATCAAATTACCTGCGGATTTACTGTATTATCCCTAGGAAAATCCCCAGGTAATCAACACTTTTCTTATAGTGTGGGAGCCTCAAAGTTCTGCGGTCGAAAGCATGGCATTTGAATTATTTTGCTGAAGAGGCATGGAGTTTACTTTAGGAGGGAAAGAACCTACATGATTTGGAGCTGGCCTAAGGTTCATAGGTTGCATTTGAGGGACAGTAGGTGAAGCTATACCCTGATTTGAAAATGTCGGATGCCTAAATTGAGGGAGAGGGACAGCAGGTCCTCGAGCAAAGTCAAGTGGCATAGGTGGTCCTGGCTGACTAATCTGATTGCTTAATTGGGGTCTTTGAAATCCTTGAATGACAGGTGGGGGATTTGGATGGTCTATTGCTGGTCGTAGATGAGGCGGAGTCATATTGGATTGAGGTGGTGTAGACCCTAAAGATGGTATAGGATGTCTAAGTCCACCAATTTGTCCAAAATGAGCGGAAGGCATATATGGCTGCTGCATTAGTGGTGTCTGTGGGCTAGAGTGAACAAAAGGGTTTCAAGGAAATGAACCAAAACCATCTTGCATACCATGTGGTGGACCAAAGGGCGAGGATGTATTTGACAGGTTGGTAGATGACGGTGATACTTGTTGAGTGTTGCTGACCAGGGATGCTGAAGAAATCCCGGAGTTAGCAGGTCTTGGAAATCGAGGTACTGGATTTTGAGATGTCGGTCCAGGAAACCATTGCCCTTGGTATGGCTGGAAATGGCTTTGAAGTTGAGCAGGTTGTGCTCCAAAACCTGGTTGAGCCATCCCGTGATCTACTACAGGAGGAGGAGTCAGGCCAGGTGTTGCTTCAACGGAAATAGTTTCTCCATCACCTGACGCTTTTGTGGTTGTGGCGCAGGAGTCATCTGAGAACCAAATGGAACACTTAACTTTACGACGCACACAAAAAAAAAAAAAAAACTGAATTGCCGCATTGGTATTCACAGTAACACCATACTACTGTGTACTTACTGAAGCTGGGGTAACCAGAAGTTCAATTAAAGCAACTGCAGCATCAACCTTTTCATATGTCTCAGCTGATACTTGGACATGCATTTCCTCATAAGCACCAGAGTCAGTTTCACCAGAAGTAACTTCTACCTGGGGACAGATTAAAACACACGTCAATTTTCAAGAAATCAAGGTGAACAATAGGTATATGTCGTTGCAGCTCATACAGGAGGCTTGACAATCCAGACATGATGATCTAATACTAGGAGCAAGTAGAACATAGATTGCATAAAAACTACAGTTTATAGGTGTCTCCAGCCTAGTCTACAACAACATACCCAGCGTGATCCCATAAATAACTAGCTCGTGGCAGTCAGAATCAGTATATTAAAAGACATGACATTGAATAAGTGCACATCTACCATTTCATATCTAAACCTGCTCTTTTTTGTTGTAGGAGCGTGGATTGGTGGGAGGAGAAGGACAACTAATAACAATTTTCTCCATAAGTCTCCCGTTAATCCATAGTTTGTCTAACTTGTTTTGCAAAGGCAGGCCATCATTCTCATTGATATCAACACATATTCAAGTCTTACAAGAATGTAAATGTAGTTAATAGAGTAGTAGTTTTGAGCCGAGGAGAAGTGTAATCCAATACAATACAGATGATCCTTAATCTTGTTCCAGTTGATAAGAATTCTAAAATTTTAAGAATCAACTCACAGAACCCAATGGGAGAACTATTGGAACAAGAAAAAAAGAGAAGGAGCACAAAGTTCCAGAAAACTGGGTTAAACTTACAGGTACTGGAATTTTTGCCTCCTTTGGTACAGGCTTATAACCAGCAGGTGGCTTATAACTGGGATTCAGTTTTAGAATCTCCATGGACATGAATAAAATCAGATAAGATGTATTGTGTGTTTGATAATGGAAGAGTAAAAGTGAGTGACTCGAGGGATCAATCACAACACACCAATGATTTCCTGTCTTTCGAGTTCCAGTGATCTCACATTCTACATCCAACAGAAGACGTCAGCTTTAGAAGCTAACCCATGCAAAATTTGCAACTAAAAAATCTTAATGAGTAAATTTACCTCATCAGTAGGTTGATGATCTGAAGACTCGTGATCTTTAGCAGGAGAGGCTAATAATGAGTCTTTGCTGCCTTCTCCCTCCAAACTCCTAGAACTCAGTAGTTGTGTTATTTGATCCACACGTCTCTGCCCAAAATTTGTAAGGCCGCAATATCACTTGGTGGCACCTGGAGTAGGAAATTAATAAAAGCCATTCACACAGAATTACACTGTTGTTTAGGACCCAATGGACAAAGGAAAACTATTAATGGCCACCACGCCATACTCCATCATAAATGCGTTAAAAACTTTTTTTTTTTTTTTTTTTGTGTGTGTGTGTGGGGGGGGGAGGAGTTGATAGAGTTATGAAGTTCTTCAAGAAATGATCAAACTGAGAAGAACAAGAAAACCATGGATTCCAGTCTAGGATGATTCTCATGTTGCACAAATATATGTGAATGTAATTACGGTTTATTTCTATGTTGCTCGAATTCCCCTAAAATGTTGCCGCACCCATGTCAAGTCCTCCAAAAATGCACTACTTTTGAAGGATTTGCCATGCACCCGTCTGCATTTTTGACATACTTTATTTTCAGCTGTTTGATCAATGTAACATAATATGTATACATATTGCATATATACGCATGTAAATGTGCAGTTACACATAACCTAACATAGTAAAGCAAATTTTTAACGACTGTTTTGGAGTGCTCTTGTCCATGTTGTGGATTTCTTAAAGAAAGGCATGCCCTGTTATGATTCTCTGTATCTATATGAGAAACACATGCATAGATTCAATATTAAGGATCACAAAACATAAAACACAAAATAAATTGTGTAATCTCAACACGTCCCTACAATGTTGAGTTTGGAACTAATGTTACATTGTTTTCTTCTGATGAAGAATACAAAGGTCATTTCTTTCTGATGCAAGAAATTATCAAGAAACGTAAAAACAAAAAACTAGAAACTAAATATTCTTTTAATAAAGTATTACTTTCAATATATTTCTCAATCTCAAGAAAAAGCTTTAAAAAGAAGAGAATGTAAATAGGTATATATTGCAAAGCATTCTAAAGCACCTGATATGCCAATGCTCTTGCTTTCCTGACAGTAGTATCCTGTGTGAGATCAGGGCCCCATTTGGTTTTCCTTTGCACCTGTTTAGTGCTATCTTCATTTACAGAATCACTAGCTCCTTTTTTCCTACTCGAAATACCGGAACCAATGAACCAGCTAATATACATGAGCTTACAATGATGATGATGTTTGAATACATAGTATGCACATAACTAATTACAGAATACTATGACCCCTGATTTTCTACTATAACTGCTATAAAAACCCTAACTTCAGAAGATGCTCCTAAACAGACATAAAACTCAAAACAAACATTTAAAAATGTGAACACCCTAATGCCAGTGTTATAGCATGTATGGCCAAGTACTTTTGAAGATTAACTGTTTGTGTTTGGGAAATTAATTTGAAAAGCACTTTTGTCAATATAAGAGCAACAATTTGTGCTTCACCAAGGTACTAGAAGTGCTTCTTCCATGGAAAAACTATTTTTTTTCAGCTTCTACTACTAGTCACAAACACTTAACTTTTCCCTAAAAGCTTGGTTAAATATCTCAACTCTCTAAAATAATCACTTAAAAAAAAACTCTAGTGTGCATACATAGTTCTTTTTCTGTTTTGTTTTGTTTTCCCCTCAAAATTAACATAGAAAACAACTCTTCATGAACAGATGCAGGTATATAGATAATCTGTGTCATCCATCAACTAATCCCCATCAAACAGATTGTAATATCACAAACTGAACTTCCCACTTTCCTCAAACATAAATGAAACAAAATTCACAACATTAAAACTTCCATTTTCCATACCAAACCCCAAAATCATTTCACACAGAAAGGAAAGAACATATTTTGGAATAGCACAAGAACAATAACAACATACCCCGTGTAATCTGGGGAGGGTAGAGTGTAAGAAGACCTTACCCCAACCTGGTGGAGATAGAGATGTTGTTTCCAAAACATCCTTAGATCAAGTGCAGCAAATCAAAGTACTTATGAAAAAAGGGAATATGGCAGTGAAGAAAGCACTACAGAGCATTCAGAAAAAAGAAACAAAACAACAGCGAAATAATGCGGTAACAGAAACACAAATGGTAACAGATATCTGAAGCAAGAAACTGCACATATAACCCTAATACTACTGTGCTCCCAGACTCCCACCAAGCCTAACCCAACCCTAAAGCAAGTCAAAGTTCAACTACCTACTAAATCTTCTACCCTAATCCACTACCTCCATACTCTCTTATCAAAAGTCATGTCCTCAGTAAGTCAAAGCTGAATAGCACAAGAACAACGGGAAAAAAATGAATCTTGATTTTACAAACAACGAAAAAAGGAAGAAAAATATTGACAACAACAAACTACCCATTACCAAAGAAACCTTAAATATCAAAAACCCATGTCACATTTTTACTAAGAAAGAGAAATACAAAACCTCAAAACTGAACTTTTCCACTTTCCTCAAACACATAGGAAGCAAAATCTACAACATTCAAACCTTCATTATTACAAAATCAAACTAACAAACCATTTCACACAGAAAGAAAACAGTATATTTAACAATAGCACAAGAACAAAAAACTGAATCTTGAAATGAATAACAATAGCTCTCAATTAAGTACTATTTCATCCGCGTAACAAAGGAATAACTTTGGTCTAGTACAACAAAAAGTAGTAAGTGATGAGCAGAACTATCTCTTAACGCGCTTGTTGTTTTTTGCAGAACGATCACCTTTGTGGAATCCTCCGAAATCGTTGGTAGTGTCAGCAGTGTTCTGCTTCTTCAAACCTTTTCTCCCACCAAATCCAAACTTGGAATCCTTGAATTCCCTGCTTTTCCTCTTTTTGTCAAACCCCTTCCCTTTCCCACCAAATGTTGTTTTCCCACCGGAACGATCTCCGGGAGATACACCAGGTCTCTTCTTATTTGATCTCTGATAGGGTTTATCAGCATTTCCTCCATTAAATGCCAAATCTAGACCGCCAGCATCTTCTTTATCAAAGCCGCTTTGTTGCCTCTGCTTCCTCCACTTTTTAACAGACTCAATCTCTTGCTTCTTCTGCTTAGTTCTTTCTTTCATCTTCTGTGCTTGTACATCCTTGGCAAGTTTCTTGTTATCTCTGGCCTTCCTCCTCTCCTCGGACTCCTCAATCCTCCTCTTCTCAGCCAAGAGTCGGCCCTTTACTTTCTCCATGTGAGTGTCAGACTTCACCATTTCCGCATAATAATCAGAGGGCCTCAGAAATGGTTCACCGGTTGACTGAAAGTTGACGTACGCTTGGCGTATACCCTCCAACCCCTGAGTGTAAAACGAGTGCTCCCTCGCCAAATCATCGTTCACATCCACCTCTTCTTGCTCCTCCCTGTTGATGCTAAGCCTGTGAGTCCAATCCAAATCATCAGGCCAACTGATATCAGCTAGCCTTTCAAGTAAACCATCCCTGTTATATACAGCAGTTTTTGAAGGTTCAGCCAGCTTTACGACTTGCTGATCTCCTTCTTCATCTTCCGATTCCGACTCTGTTTCTGGATCGAAATCCTCATTCTCTGGGTTCATCATAGCCATTTCATCCGCAACCATCATACACTATCACACTTTTTGATAAGAAGAGTGAAAGCATAATATTAGATTTACTGACTAACTAGCTCAAATTACCAGTCACAAGCTCAAATAAAGGAGGCGGGTTGGCATCAAACATAAGACTAAGTTGATAAAAATGCTGAGAAAACTGCGAAAACTATATGAGCAAGCTTAATATCATTAAAAATAGTGAAAACTACATAAAAATGCTCAATCACTTTGAAAATAGCAAAAAATAAATGAAAATGCTAATATAAACAGTAAAAATCACATGGAAATATTCAAACACATCCAAAACTGACGAAATAAACCGATAAAAAACGCTGAAAAAACAATATTCATAAGCTTAATTGCATTCAAAAATGAAGAATTTTTTTTTCCGATTTCTCACACCAAATTTGCACAGATTAATCTGTGTCTCAGAAATCATCACAAAACAAGCAAATAACAGCCAAATTAGCACTAAAAAACACCAAACAAAAAAACAAAAACATATATATGTGATTTCAGTTTTCTAAATTACATCAATGAAAAACAATGGAGATTAACAGAGAGAGAAGAAACTTACAAACAATTGGAAGAATTCGAAAAAGTTGAGAGATTTTTTGGGACGAAGGGTTTAGGGTAGGGTTTTAGTATTAAATGATGGGCTGAAATTTATTGGGTTATAGTAAATGGGCTTGAAAGCCCAAATAAGGCCCATTTACCCAAGTAAGACTAAAATTACCAGTCATAAACTCGATACTTTCATCAATTTCTTTGGATTTCATTATTAGATTAATAACGATTCAACACTGATGTTGATTCGCAATACTATGCCATTACGCGTATACATCAAATTGAGAAAAAATATTTATGTCAATAGATTCATTTAATTGATATCAAATTACCTAAATGTCGATAATTCTATCAATTTCTTTGAATTTCATTATAAGATTGATGAAGCTTCAATATCGATGTTAATACAAAACAATATGGGATTACGAGTATACATAAGATTGGAGAAAGAATCAGGATATTTCAATTGTTGAAGTTGAAGATGGAATTATCAATATCCGTTTAGTTGCTAATGGCTAGATAGATTGAATATTTTAGAAAAAAAATGCTTGAGGTTTTACAGCTTACTGAGGCGAATGAAAATAATTAAAGAAAATGATATATTTTATATGGTTAACTTAACTACCTAATATACAACTCAAAATTTGAATTGAAAATAATTAAAGAAAATGATATAATTAGAACACTTTATTAGGAGTTGAGATGTTCAATTGTAACACGTCTTAGTTCGAGTATTTAAACAAAATATCCTAACAAGTTTAAGGGGCTAGTTATATAAGCCTATGAATTATAACACGAGAACTGAATAATATAATGAATATACTTTTATAAGTTAAGGTGACGAGATAAAAAAGAATAGCTCGATGCACAAAGCATCTTATGTCCATCAAGGGTCCGAGAAAAAATCGCACCCCAAAAAAGTATAATCAACTCTGGAGTCAAACAATCTTTGAACAAATTGATTGCAACAATACCTATTTATACAACTTATAACCTGCAGAGCTTTTTCTTTTTTTTTTATTCTCCACCCGATGTCCGGAGTCCACGCTCTGACTAACTCCGAATCGCGCACTGCAGGGCCCATTCGGGGTGACGCTCCCAACAAGATTTTCTCCATACTCAGGGCTCGAACCCCAGACCTCTGGTTAAGAGTAAAGCACTCGTACTAGTGCACTATAACCTGCAGAGCTAATATGATGCCTATAGCATAACAAAATTGATCAGATGACAGTATGGGTGGAGATCTAACATGGAAAGTAGAGTTCAACAAAATCCAATAATTTCGATCTAAACCATATGTGTCGCGAAATCTACTGAATATATATACATAAAATAAATATCAGAACTCATAAAACTTCAAATTCAAAACATACAAACTTCGAATCTTGAATAAGCCTCTAGATGGTAGAGCAGAACCAAACATTCGGTTTGTGTTACATACATGAATCCTTCAGCATTTAGCTTCATTTACGTATCAAGACATTTTGGCATCGATGAACAGCAAAATTTGTGTATAAAGAAGCTTCATTTACGAAATGAGACACTTTGGCATCGATAGACGCCAAAACTAGAGTATAGCGAAGGTAAGAACAGCGTAAAGGGGATACCACCATCACAGCAGAAGGGGTCTTGATATGCAATAATGGATGGACCCTGAATGCCTTTGCTTAATGCATTTCTCTGGTTTTGATGCCGGGTTTTTCTTTGCAGGGGGCAAAAATCATGGTAGAAACGCATCAACTTATCCAGGTCCCGGAGAGTAATAGGCGATTATTCCCATGTTCGATCTACATTCCAGTGCTGGGACAAGCAAAGTACATTGCCAGATTGTAAATGCTTCCACAATTAGCAAGTAGTTGAAGCCACATCGACAGTTGATGGATTTGCAGGTTTTTCTGCAGTAGAGTCGCTCAGTTTCCTCTTCTTCTCATCACAGCGCTGCTTATTTGAGGAGCGGTCAGCAGTGGAAACAATTTTTGAAACAGTAAAGCCAGCAACTTCAAAATCATAGGATCTGTTTGGGAGTAACGCGTTACGAACAATGACATCAACACCATCATATGTCCAGACACCTAATTTAGCATCTCCCTTTAGTCCAATGGCAAACCAACCAAGACCAGAAGCAGCAATATCAACAGAACTTGAATCCCACATATTTCCATTCACATGAAATTCCCTCTTCAACCATTTCCCTAGCTCTTCAGATCGTCCCTCTCCAATCGGCGGCTGACAAAATGAAAATACAATATAGCATTTAATCATATCATATATATCAGCCAAACTGTCAAAGCACGAAAGTAATTA